GAAAGCATCCCAAAGGTGTTCACGAGGCATGGCATCGAAGGCCCCGGTGAGATCGAGAAAAAGTTGGCAGCCTCCATACACCTTGGGACGTGATTCCCGGTCATTCACTGGTGCATTGGCATCATATTTCCAGCGATCCAGCATGGATTGAACCTCACAAACATGAGCTGTAACTCTTGCAATTGCTTCCCATGTACCACGGCCAGGAAGGTAGGCAAACTGTGGGTACCAGACCAACCCAGGAAGAGCAAAGTGCTTTGCATGTTGCACAAAAAGAGACATGATCGTTTTCGAAAGCGGAGTTTGTAGTGCAATCGGTCTCAAAGCTTTGGGCTCTGTGGGAGGCTTGTTTGGCTTCGGTAGTAGAACAACCCAGCCTCGGCGCCATTCCGCAGGGATCAGACCATGCGAAAGCCAGTGGGAACACCAGGAGGTCAAAAGAGGACCAAGGTCTGCTGCCAGTGCCTTCCAAACAAAGCTGGGAGCAATGTGTTGAGGCACTCCCGTGTGTGGGAGGAGAGGTCCTTGAGAGCCCTTGTCAAATCTGAGGCCTGAAATGGTAGGGAGTTGAGTCTGAAGGAAGGTAAGTCAAGGTCGGCGCCCTTGTACGAGTTCCTTCATCTATTGAGAGATCAAGTCCAGTTCCTCCTGTGGTGACATCAACAAGCCCTGTGTCCGTCGAAGTTGAGGACGTTGAGCATGAGTCTTGGGCGTGAGGTGGTGAACCAGTTTGAAATAGTGGTGAGTCTTATTCTTGGCCCAGAGATGACGAGCTTCTTCTATGGTATTGTTCAGCTTTTGGCGTTTGGCCTCCCTGGCCTTGTTTTTGGTGTGTCGTCTCCAGCGGCAAATCTGAGTGTTTCTAAACCAAGCCACAAAGACCTTGTTGATCTGAGATGCTGACTTGGAGACTTCCGGAAGGGCTCGAAGAGCTGGAAGATCTTGAGCCCAAAGTCTGAGAGGTCTGTGTTCCTGGGATTATGGACGACACCAGTCTGTGAGGACTTGGGTCGGAAGTGTTTGCACGCTTCCATGATGGTGTGGTTCAGGATCTCGATGGAGGGAGGATGTTCATGAAGGTGTTGAAATCCAAGAAACCCAAAGATCACTGTCCTGTTCCCAGTGTTGTTGAAGAAGAGTCCGCGTCGTTTTGGGAAGACCCAAGTTGGGTTGTTTCCAAGCCCGCCATTTGTAGGGGATGTTGTACATGATGGGAACGTGATCTTTGGTATGACCAAATCGTGGAGGAAGCTGGTCCAGGTAGATCGGATGTTTGGCTATGAGTCACTGGTCTTGTGTCTGATCAAGATGTAGTCGATCCTGGAGGCAGACCCTCTGTTGCCCAGAAACGTCGGGCCCAGCCTGGTGTCCCACGTGTTGAGGGCCGTGAGTCCATGTCGTTGAATCAGGTCTCTGAACTTACCAGAGTCAGGGTGACGTGGACCTCGATGTCGACCGGGATTCATTGAAAAGTCACTCAACCCAACACAGTGGGGGGTCTGGCCCAAACCCGTTTTCCAATCTCCTGCTGATACCACCACATTGCATCCTGGCAAGCCTTTGAGGAACTTCAGATCGAGCAGAGAGGCAGGTGTTGTCCTGAGTACTCCAGGCGTGCTGATAGACATTCAGGATGTCAATGGATGTGAATGACATGTAGAGTCTGACATGTAGCATTCGACCCTGCTTCAGTCATTGGAGCCGCTGTGAATGTAGGCGAAGTGGTCGTCCATCCAATCCCCTGTGAACCCCCACCAGGTGTCTTGGATCGTGAGAATGGCAAGGGGTTGAGGGATCATCCATGCTTTCAGTATACCAATGTTCCAACTGAAACACTGAAACGATTGGCTTTGAGCTTGGTGCCTGATGGTGCAGGACCTGTTGGCTTCTCTTGTGTGAAGGCCGGCGGTGGAATTTCGATCTGTGAGGTTCCGAGCATGGAGGCACTGTACATCTTACCTTTGTACCAGGTCATGCCATGCAGTTGAGCCCTCTTGAGAGCACGAAGAAAAGATTTCTTTTTGGAAAATGGTTGTACATCAGGTGTGCTTTGCCCGGAATGAAGGGGGCTTGTTTGGAGTATGTGTGGCTTCACTGACACCCGTGGCGGCGTCAGAACCCTCGGGCCTCCAGGGAATTGCATTGGGATTGAGCGTGCTCGTGAGTAGCAAGATCGGTCCCTGGCCGGGGACTTGGGACCCCGGTGAGTGTCCAGGCTTCTGCAAAGACCTTGGGGTGGCCAGCGTGAATGCCAAGCACGTATACCCCTGCTCGAGGAGCAAAACAGGTAGATCGTGGTCAGGAGGAGGAGCGGGGTGAGATAGGCAGCCACAAAGGTCACCTCAGTGATGGAGGCCAGGAGCTTGTAGGTCAAGGCCAAGTCAATGAAGGGACCTCCGGCGTGAGGATCTTGAGATAGGCTGGCGTGGTCCCGGTAAGGCAAGATCTCGCGGATCAGGGCCGGCAGACCATGTGCGCGGAGGGAAAGCCGCACTAGCCCTGGCCATGGGGCATGACCAGGGCCTGAACACTCATGGCCCTTATCATCATCATCATCATCAGCAGCAGCACCAGCAGCAGCATCATCATCATCAGCAGCATCATCATCTTCTTCTTCATCTTCATCATCATCTTCTTCTTCATCATCATATCATCATATAATCATCAGCATCATCAGCATCAGTAGCATAATAAAAATAATAATCATCATCAGCAGCAGCATCATCATCATCATCTCAGCTGATGAGCCAAGCTCTAAGGTTGACACCTTGTCTCAGCTCCCAAGTTCTAAGGTTGATGTTGCCAAGGAGTTGGCACCAAAGGCCTTCGGGAAAGCAAGAAGGGCAAGGAAGCAGTAACAAGGAGGACACTTGTCTCCTTGATGGTTGGGTCCTTGCTACAGCTGCTACAGATTGTATGCCCGTTCATTTGAAGGCCCATGAGACAGTCTTTGACCTGGCAGGTTGAAAATGATTGGCATTGGAGTGGTAGAGTACTTTGTAATACTTTGTATGTACAATCAGCATCTCACCATAAGTTGTGGAAAATTACCTATCAGTGTCGTCTAGTTTCTAACGACAAGCATCAAGCGACCTCCTTAAGACTCACGTCGAAACAGTGTGTATATATATGATTCACTCCTCAAATCCCTCACGTTGGAGGCCATCGCTCTTAGGTTGGAGGCCATCGCTATCAGGTTGGAGATCATCGCTATTAGGTTGGAGGCCATCGCTATTAGGTTGGAGGCCATCGCTATAAAGCTGGAGGCCATCGCTTCTTGGTTGGAGGCCATCCCTATTAGGTTGGAGACCATCGCTATTAGGTTGGAGACCATCGGGCCATTGCTATTAGGTACCATCGCTATATAGCTGGAGGCCATCGCTTCTTGGTTGGAGGCCAT